GACCGTGGCTCCTTCCTCTCCTCCGACGGCCTCTATGGCCGCCCAGCCCGTGACGCCTTCCTGCCGGAGGGCCGAGACGGGCAGGGAGTACGGGCAGGCGGCTCACGTACTCCTCTCCCCCGGTGCGCCTAAGTCCCACGGCGTTGGGTCGAGGTCAACGTCGGCGGGGCTTCTGAGTTCTCCTTCGCTGATCACGGCAGCTCCTGTGGAGCCTTCGATGGGTACAGCTCCACACTATGGTCGAGGTGAGGTTGGAGGCCTTACTTTGGGCGGGCCCACTCGGGAGGAGGTGGTCGCGTTTGGAGGGATTTCGGATCCAGTTTCTGAGGGGCGGCGGATGAGTTGCCGGCTCCAGGACCGTCCGGAGGTTGACGACATGCAGCAGAGGTGCGCCATGCGGGCGGCCAAACTTCGTGATATTGAGGTTACCACTGGTATGTCGGTCAACACTGACTAATTCAATTTTGCATTTTTCTGATAATGAGACTATTAATAATGCAAATCAATTAGGTGTTTCACTAGGTAGTAATGCTAGTGAAATCTCTAATTCTGTGAATGATTTACTCGATTTCGAAGCGGAACGCGCTTTAGAAATGATTCAAAACTTAGCAGTCAAACCCACGAATGACTCCGATGTAGAGGCGTTGGGAGTTAGGGTGCTGGATACCTTTTGTGCGGACCTTACACTACCCTTTCCTGAGTCAGAGGAAGAGGATGACGCCATCGAGGGTGAAGTAGTTAGATCCACAGAGCCCGGTTGTGAGGACCGGGTGGAGGATCAGAACAAACCTAAACGAAAGTGGAAGCGGAAAATTTATCTGGCATCGGCGGTGCGCAGGAGTGCTAGGATATGTACTTCTAAAAAATTCCATGACGAAATATGAGAGGAATCTTTTGGAATAGCAGATGTCTGAAAGACTTGGCTAAAAGAAGGTTTCTTGCGGATGCGTCGATTGAGCATAGATTGGATTTTATTGCTCTTTCGGAAACTGATAGAGATAATTTTGCGCCCCAGTTCCTCAATACTTTATCGGGCGGTGTCGATTTTGATTGGCACTGCCTGCCTCCGCGAGGAAGATCGGGAGGGATCTTACTTGGAGTGAGATGTGATTCGTTGGAAGTCCGAAGCGTAGTGATGGGTGACTTCGTGGTTAAGTTTCGAGTTAGGTCCAAAGCTGATGGGTTTAATTGGGCTCTGGTGGTGGTGTATGGTGCAGCGCAGCCCGAGTTTAAACCGGAGTTTCTGGTGGATCTTGTCCGAATTTGCGGCTCCGAGCAGCTCACGATTTTAGTTGGGGTGACTTCAATATCATTAGAATGAGAGAGGAAAAGAATAATGACAATTTCGACGGCAGATGGTCGTTTATGTTCAATACCATTATTGAAAGCCTGGATCTGAGAGAGAGATAGAGCTTTCTGGTAGAAAATTTACTTGGGCTAATAATTTGCCAAACCCGACGTTTGAGAAGCTGGATCGATTCCTAGCGAGCGCCGAGTGGGAACAGAAATTCCCTTTGGTAATGATTCAGGCTCTCTCGCGCGGAATTTCTGATCACACACCGTTGTTCGTGGACTCGGGTGAGCCAAACCACGTAGGAAACACAAATTGCTTTTCATTCGAGCTGGCATGATTTGAGCGTGAAGGCTTCTTGGATCTGATAGCCAGGGAATGGGCTAAGGATGCAGGAGGTAGGACTTCTGTTGAGCGCTGGCAAAATAAGATTAGGCATTTGAGAAGTTTCTTACATGGGTGGGCTAAGCACCTTAGTGGAATTTATAAGGTTGAAAAGGAAAGGCTTCTTTCACTTATTCAATCCCTAGATTTAAAAGCCGAATTCACGATGTTGCAAGCCACAGAGCTTCATGCTAAACTTGAAGCGGAGATGAGGTTTAAAGAGCTTCTCCCCGAGGAAGAATTAAAGTGGGTATTGTGGGCTAAGGTCCGCAAGGTTGTCCAGGGGGACGCGGACACTCAATTCTTTCACTTGATTGTTAATGGCAAACACAGAAAGAAGAGAATCTTCGAGCTTGAACAAGATGAAGGAACTATTTTAGGACAAGATAACCTCAAACTATGCATTACTGAGTACTATAAACAGTTGTTTGGACCTCCGGAGGATAGTTCAGGATCCCTGAATGAGTCCAGGGTGGAGGATGTGCCTCAACTCACTGTTGATGAAAATGATATTTTGGTTGCCCCATTCTCGGAGAAAGAGGTGTTTGAAGCTATTGCGTAGAAGAAGAACAATAAGGCTCCAGGATCGGATGGATTTCCAGCGGAGTTATATAAAAAGTGTTGGCATATTATTAAGGGGGATTTGTTACCAATGTTCCATGATCTATTCTCTGGACAACTTCAGTTATTTCATTTAAATTTTGGAACAATAACATTGCTTCCTAAGAAAATGGAAGTTGTGAGAATTGAGCAGTTCAGGCCGATATGCCTCCTCAATGTTAGTTTTGAAAATCTTCACCAAGGTAGGGACTAATAGGCTCACACAGATTGCGCATTCTGTGGTGCAGCATTTCCAAACTGCTTTCATCTCGGACAAAAACATCCTAGAAGGGGTGGTGGTCCTTCATGAAACGCTCCACGAAATCCACTCGAAAAAATTAGATGGAGTTGTTTTTAAGGTGGATTTCGAGAAAGCGTACGATAAAGTCAAATGGCCATTCCTTCAACAGGCCTTGCGTCTGAAAGGTTTTGATGAAGCCTAGCGACGCCAGGTAGAATCGTTCACGCAAAAAGGGAGTGTTGGAATTAGAGTGAATGACGACATAGGTCATTACTTCCAGACACATAAGGGCCTGAGACAAGGGGATCCGATGTCTCCTATCATGTTCAACATTGTAGTTGATATGTTGGCAATTTTGATAGGAAGGGCTAAGGAGGCTGGTCAGGTGGGTGGCTTGATACCTTATCTAGTTGATGGAGGTGTGTCCATCCTTTAGTACGCCGATGATACGATCATCTTTATGGAGCATGACTTGCCCAAAGCGAGAAATATGAAGCTGGTGTTATGCTTATTTGAACAATTGACCGGGTTAAAGATTAATTTTCAGAAAAGCGAATTGTTCTCCTTTGGTAGAGCCAATGACGAACAAGAGGCATGTAGGCAATTGTTTAGGTGTGAATTGGGGACTTTACTTTTTACGTACTTAGGTATACCAATCCACCATCGTAAGCTGACAAATAGAGAATGAAAGTGCATCGAGGACCGATTTAAAAAGAAACTGAGTTGCTGGAAGGGCAAGCTCATGTCATACGGAGGCCGATTAATTTTGATTAACTCGGTTCTCATGAGTATGCCTATGTTTCTTTTGTCGTTCTTCGAAGTCCTAGTTGGAGTTAGGAAAAGACTAGACTTCTATCGATCCCGATTTTTCTGGCAGAGCGATGAATTAAAAAAAATACAGACTTGCCAAATGGGATATCATCTGTCGACCAAAATGCCAAGGGGGGCTTGGTATTGAGAATCTTGAGGTCAAGAACAGATGTCTTCTCAGCAAGTGGTTGTGGAAGCTATCGACTGAGACTGATGCCACTTGGGCGCAGATCCTCCGTAGCAAGTATCTTCACTCCAAAACTTTGTCACAGGTGTCAGCAAGGCCGACTGACTCACCTTTTTGGAAAGGGCTTATGAAAGTCAAGTTAACCTTGTTTAATAGTACAAAGTTTATTATTGGCAATGGTGTTAATACACGATTTTGGAAGGATACTTGGCTCGGAGAGACCCCCCTTGCCATTCAATACCTGTCTCTGTATCGTATTGTTCAACGACGTGAGGCATTCGTTGCAACAATACTTCAATCCATCCCCCTTAATATTCAGTTCAGAAGGACGCTAATTGGCAATCGTTGAAAAGAATGGCTCCATCTAGTAAGTAGACTGATGGAGGTTCAACTAACTCAACAACCGAATAAATTACGTTGGAAGCTTACTAGGTCTGGAGAGTTTACTGTTGAATCAATGTATGTTGATGTTATCAATACAAGCTCGATTCCTAGGTCCAAACATGTTTGGGCTGTTAAAGTTCCTTTGAAAATCAAAGTGTTTATGTGGTTTGTCCATCAACAAGTAATATTAACCAAGGACAATTTGGCAAAACGCAATTGGACATGATTTACTAGGTGTAGTTTCTGTGATCAGGATGAAACCATCAAACACCTCTTTCTTGATTGCCCGTTAGCAAAAGTCTTATGGCGGACAGTCCATATTGCATTTAACATTACTCCACCGAGTTCTGTCAACACATTATTTGAAACGTGGCTTAACGGGATTGAGTCCGAAACAACGAGACATATTTGAGTAGGAGTTTGTGCTTTATTGTGGGCAGTATGGAACTGCAGAAATGATTTGATCTTTAACAGAACAACAACTATTCATTTTTTGTAGGTTATTTCGGAGCCACTGCGTTGATCCGTATGTGGTCGCTACTCACTTCGACGGAGGCCAGGGAGCGTTTGGTTACTGGATCTACCCGCTGGGAGATGGTAGCACGGGATATGTTCAACCGGTTTGGATGGCGGTCATATAATAGGATAGGCAATTAGTTTTCATGTCTCTCTTATGCCAGGCGGTTGTGCCTTTTCATGGCCAGTTTGTTTTTGGCCCTTTTGGCTCTTTGTGAGCTCTTTTTTTTCGTTTTGAGATTATAAGACCTTGTTAAACCTATTTTTTGTTATATTAAGATGGCCGTATGCATCGTTTTGATGCAGAGGCCGGGGAGTCTCCCTTTTTTGAAAAACTTGATTTCTACTAGTACTCTATTTTATTAATATATACAAACTTATTTAATTACACGTGCGCTCTATCTTTTCTAGCGATTTTTTGAGGAAAAACACGCGGGCTATATCTTTATTATTGTGACATATACACATGGCTGCATGCATGCATGGTGTTGTGTACAGGCTCTCCCTGCAGACTGGTCGATTTAATAATCTTGTCTTTTTCATGATGGGTGCATCGTCACCTTGTACTAACAGACCGTACAAGGATCATGGCGAGCTCGCTCTTCATCGTCGGTGAGATTGGAGTAAACGATTACCTCGTCGCGTTCGCCGGTAACACCACCGTCCGGGAGGCGCGGACCTTCGTGCCGCACATCGTCGGCGCCGTCCGTTCAGTCGTGGCCGTAAGCCAGCACACTCCCGTGACCACTGATATTTTCTTTTCTTTTTTGAAACGGAGGCAAAGATGACCACTGATATACGGAGTATCAGTCAGTCAAAATAAAGTGAATGAAGATATCAGGAGGTGCTCGCCGCCGGAGCGAGGACCGTACTGATTCCGGGGATGATACCGCTCGGCTGCGACCCACATCTGCTCGCCCTCTACCAGAGCGGCGACCACGACCCGGCGTCCGGCTGCATCAAGTCTCTCAACGACCTCGCGGAGCTGCACAACCGCGCGCTGAACGGCATGCTCGGAGAGCTCCGGCGAGCGCACCCGGGGACAACCATCCTCTACGCCGACCTCTACGGCGCCGTTGCCGACCTCATCGCGTCGCCCCGGAAATACGGTACGCATGAATGCGCCAGTAATCATCAGCCACTAGCAGCTAATCATCAGCTTTCTCCTGACCTCGTCTTCTCCGTCGGTCTCAGGGTTCAGGGATGAGCCGCTGGCGGCGTGCTGCGGCGGCAGCGGCGCGTACAACTTCAACATGACGGCGTTCTGCGGCGCGGCCGGGACGGCGGCGTGCGCCGACCCGCCCGAGTACGTGTCCTGGGACGGAGTGCACTTCACGGAGGCCGCCAACAGGCACACGGCCTGTGCCACGTTGAAGACCAACTCGCATCCTCTGCTCAATTCGTGGACGGCGGAGGCGAGACGAAGGATTGGGTGCGCGGTGCGCCTAAAAGCTTAGCCTAACTAAGACAGCGACAGGGAGTAGAGCAGTTCCGGCTAAATTAATCCATGCCGCACGTCGGCACGTGGACGTTCTCCTGCTAAGGCATCTAACTACTCCCTTCGTCCCAAAATTCTTGTCTTAGATTTATTTGATACGGATGTATCAAGTCACGTTTTAGTATTAGATACATCCGTATCTAGACAAATTTAAGACAAAAATTTTGGGACGGAGGGAGTACACTTTTTGACTAGGCAGGCTGCTCGTGTTGCCGTGTGCGGTGCATTTGTAAAGGAAAATGTGTTTCAATTAGATGCACACCGTGATTGTTTGAAGGAATTGAAAATTTTAGTGATCATGCTTGAAAAAGTTGTACTCTCTTCGTTCTTTTTTTAGTTCACATATAAAATTTGTCTGAAGTCAAACTTTATAAAGTTTAACCAACTTTATAGAAATAAATACCAACATTCACAATGTGAAACCAATATCATTAAATATGTCATAAATTTAATTTTCATATATTGTATAACTTTAGTATCATAGATGTTAGTATTTTTTTATATAAATATGATCAAATTTTACGAAGTTTGACTTCAGACAATTCTAATATGCAAAGTAAAAAGGACCGGAAGGAGTATCTGCATGCTCACTCACTTTGATTCATTGTATTTGTCATCAGTTTTTTTTTACATGGATGTGACATATGAGTCATATATACAAAACTCAGTAAAGAGATGCAGTTGGATTGAAGCAACGATATTGCCGCTAATTCACCTGCACACAAGTTCCTAAAAGTCCGTTGCTAGCCCATTCTAAAAGATGGGACCATGAGCAATGAACATACTTGGGTTGGAGATGATTGACTAAAAATGCAGGTCGTTGAACAACAAAATTTTCATCGTAACATCAAGAAAAGATTCCAACTTCATAAATAACCAAACCAACAAAAACAACATAACACATAAAACTCACCAGATTCGAATAATTGGATCCGCAAGGACACATACCTCTCGGGCTCTATGGCACCGCCACAAAGAACCGGAGTAATTTCTTTTTTTTAAAAAAACTCCACAGCTACCTCTAGAAGTTAACGAAGACTGCACCTCTCAACGCCAAGATGGCAACCGTGGGCGAGGGGACAAGAAGATTAACTCCGGCAACGACTAGGGCTCACTACCATACAGATCTGAATAGCACTAACCCCTCATCATTGACCGTCTAATAACCATTGCGTCAGTGATGAGCACTAGCTAGCACTCATTAGCCATGCGAGACGCGCCAGTGATAACACATTTGGTGCTTGGCTTGATGCTTATCACAAACTGGCCAAACAATGACCAGTCATAGATTGTGTGTAGCTACGACCAAAATGGGCTAACAATTTTCAGAGTGCAACAGACAACACATGTCAGGAAAAATGCAACACGAATCTCAGAGCAAAAATCAACGACCAAGAAGTTGACAGACTCAAAATCTAGTTGACTGACATATAGCTAAAGTGTTGAATGATAATATAAGGTATTCTCTCTTTTTTCTGAGGAAACATAGGATATTTACTCCAAAATCACACGGGTACAAATCGTTCATGAGAAGTTTAGCTATAAAAGAGGAAGGTTGGTTAAGCCAGCATGCATTGTTATTCCAACTAGGACCATAGTTTGCTAAGCAATGTGCAATCCTATTTTGTTCACGAGATATTTTAACCGGATTAAACACCATATTCTCTAACAAGATTTCGGAAGATATTTTTTTCACGAGATATTTCACGACATAGCATCTAGCCTCTGTTAATAAGATGGCCGCATGCATCATTTTGATGCAGAGGCAGGAGAATATATAATCTCCTTTTAGAAAAATTGTTAAATAATTAGGCTTAATTTCCATGATTAATTCCAGAATATTAAGCATGACGAAAATTGCTACTAACATGTGAATCTCAAGCATACTGGAAGCACTAGGCAACATGAACAGATGCAGCACAACATCGCAAAACATGACACTGACAAACATGTTTAACCAACGAGATGGGACAATGCAGTTATACCGATCGTTTGCAGATGAGATAGCCGTTGAAGCAGCGATGTTGTTGATGACGGCGTTGGCGACGAACGGTCGCAGAAGACGACGTTGCAGACGACGACAAGCAAGATCGCCTGACCTGGACGGTAGGCGAGCCGTGATGAAGACAACGAGCAGTCGCACGCGTGGCGCTTCCCAAAAACCTTATTCGCCCTCTCTCGTACAGGATCACAAAGGCGAGTGGTTCCAGAGACCTGCTCCCCCGTTCGTCGGTGCACGCCGACGCTCGGGATGGGGTGAACTACGGTGGCGGTGCAAGAAACGAGGCGGTGGCAAAACCTAGATTGGTTTTCTGTGTGTTGCGGCGCCCGCGTCATGTCTTTATATAGCGGTTTGGAAAACCCTAACGGGTGCAACGTGGGAGTCCCACGTCACACGTCCGAGTCGATTGCGGGAGTGACCCGAACCGACTAGGTTGTGACGCATCCGTCACGACTCTAGACTCAGTTTTCCTAAGCAGCAAAAATAAAGACAGAATTTGTCTCGGCTTGAGGCTCGAGGCTCGATTCACGAAACGCGATCGCGACATGTCGAGACGAGCGAGCGGCGGCGGAGGAGGAGGAGGAGCGCGCGAGAGGCTCTCTTGTTATCACTCACTTACAAGTGCTACAACACTCCACCTTATAAGGTGGTGTGCAACTCCTTCAACTTTCAGGGTGGGACTAAACTTCCCACTTCCACCACTTGCTCACACACATGGGCCTTTGAGATTTCAAAAATTGCCTATTGGGCTGCCCCATAAATGGGCCCAATATTCTAACAATCCCCCATCAGATCTCAAATGCCCATTTGAAGATTTGTCAATCCTCGCTACTTGTTTATATATCAGTGTTTCAGCAGAGACTATTAAGTTGAACTTCCGCCTAGAGCCTTAAGCTACATCTATTAGCAACTTGAACAATGGACTATGCCTTGAATTGCAAGTTTTGTGCCAACAGACTTCACTCAAAGTCATAACCAATACCTGACTGCCAGTAGTCTACCCCGCGCGTGGAGCATATACGTCGTACTCCCTGGTCTCTTTATGAGTTTACTAGAGATCACCCAAATCTCATAGACTGCGACGTTTATAGTCGGACTCATATAGGTGTGTTCTTTCAAGAATGCTCTGTAGGACAGCATCTTTGCTATCAATAGCCGTCATGAACACATTAAGGCATGTTGCCAATCTGCCTTACAGCTCTTTGAGAGTTATGCATCTTCACTTAGAGAGGGCTTACTAGATACTCTCCTCAGTCAACCCACTAGCTTGTTCTTCGCAGGTCCTAATTCACGGGATCTCCGATCACATAGGTTGGGTTACCACTATGGTGTGACACTCATGGGTCTCATACACATCTCCCTCGATGCATTTTCTATTACATTACGTGATAGTCCCTTTGTAAAGGGATCTACCAGGTTTTTTCTGTTTGAATATACGTAACAGTAATTACTCCGGAGTTTCTCAATTTCCTGACAGACTTCAATCGTCTTTTAACGTGTCTTGATGACTTCGCATTATACTTAGAACTGTTCACTTTGGCAGTCACTATTTGATTGCCACAGTTCATGAGAATGGTCGGTACAGGTTTCTCAACCACCGGAAAGTCCATCAAGAGCTCACGCAGCCATTCTGCTTCAACAGTGGCTGTATCTAAAGCAGTAAGTTCTGCTTCCATGGTTGACCTCGTCAATATGGTCTGTTTACAAGACCTCCATGACACTGCGCCACCTCCAAGAAGAAATGCATATCCACTTGTGGCGTAGAGTTCATCAACGTCCGATATCCAGTTCGAATCACTATATCCTTCAAGCACAGCAGGGTGCCCTGAATAGTGAATCCCATAGCTCGTCGTACCGTTTAGATAGTGCATGACCCTTTCAAGTGCATGCCAATGATCATTACCCGGGTTTGACATGAACCTGCTCAACTTGCTCACAGCAAAAGAGATATCAGGCCTCGTTGCACTCGCAAGGTACATGAGTGAACCAACAATTTGAGAGTATCCCAATTGATCTCTCGCTGTTTTCTTGTTCTTTCGTAGAGTCACACTGGGATCATAAGGTGTTGGAGAAGTCTTGCTATCATTAAAGCCGAAATGGCTCAAGACCTTCTCAACATAGTGTGATTGCGTTAGCGTAATCTCACTCTCATCCTTAATAAGCTTAATGTTCAGGATCACATAAGCTTCTCTCAGATCTTTCATATCGAAACATTTCGATAGAAAAGACTTGACCTCATTTATCACAATCATGCTTGTGCCGAAAATTAGTATGTCGTCAACATACAAGCACAAAGTAACACTATTGCCCCCACCATGGCGATAGTACACACACCTATCAGCTTCATTTATGACAAAGCCTGCAGAAGTCAGAGTTCTGTCGAACTTCTCATGCCATTGCTTAGGTGCCTGTTTCACCTCATACAAAGATTTTAACAATTTGCACACCTTTGTCTCTTCACCTTTTACCACGAAACCATCAGGCTGATCCATATAGATTTCCTCTTCCAACTCTCCATTGAGGAAAGTTGTCTTCACGTCCATTTGATGAACGATAAGACCATAGGAGGCAGCCAGGAAAAGTAGTACACGGATGGTAGTCATTCTAGCAACAGGTGAATAGGTGTCAAAGTAATCTTCTCCTTCTCGCTGAGTGTAGCCCTTGGCTACAAGCCGTGCCTTGTACTTCTCAATAGTACCATCATCACTACAAAAAAAATACACTTCTGTGATGATACGTGTTTGTCACAGTAGGTCGCGTTTTTTGTCATGCATGTACATCCATGACAAGTTTATGACAGAATCAAGATAGTCATACCTGTGTTGTCATAGAAGTGTTCCATGACATTACCAAAATTATCATCACGGAAGTGTCCACTTCCATGAGGATAAATCACGTGTCATAGAAGTGCTTTCGTCAAGGGTGACCGACACGTGGCATCCACCGTAACGGAACGC